CCTTTCTCCTAATTCAATATGGCGTCCATAAGTAAAACAAAAGTTAACAACCGCTCAGCACACATTTTTAGAGATACGTTAATACTGACAGCAAAAATTGATTCCTCAGATCGTTTAATATCAGACTACACATATTTGTCCAAAAATTTTGAAAACAAATGAAATACGACAAAAAATAAATAGCATAAAATCGGTTTTCTTCGAATATCTTCAGAACCATTGGGATTTCTCTAAATTTAAAAACGAATCCGTGATCGCTATAAAATTCTGAACATTTTTGCCCATTTAACCATTTTTGTAACTCTTAACACAAGAAAGATACATTTAAAAAGTTATAACCCTGTATATTCAATTTAGAGAAATTATCAACTGTTTTGGAAACCATGCACAATAGTTATGTATAGGCTAATAATAGGTATACACGTCTACACTTTTGTCTCCATTACTATTGATAATCCTTTTAAGATATAAATAATATCTAAACTTATTTATGGCTACTACCAATATTTACTCATGAAATCATATTAGAGTGGTAAATAAAGAAATTTTATTTAATTTTAATTTTGAAAAATCACACGTGATTTGAAAATTAAAAATAACTTACTTTTCTCGCTAGTCGCTGCTTGTTTTATACGAATGTATGTGATTTTTTTTACATAATTGACTGATTACTCTATGTACTATTATACAGACATAGAAACCGATCTTTGTACATATTTCAAAATATATACAAGAACTTATGCATATTTTTAGGGATACACATATATAAATTTATCGAAGTAAAAGCGATTATTATGTAATATTTGCATAGTAATGAAACCATGAAAGAAATCATATTCAAGAACATTGTTAGCTTAAATAATTTCAATTACTGTGATAAATAATTCCAGGCCAAGAGCACATCAAATAAATAATTTAAAAGCTGTTGTGTCGTAACATGTTTTAATAGATATATTTTGCAAAGTAATGTTACCTGGTTTAAAGGCTTCATTGTCAACAAATAATAAATGCACACAATCCACTACAAAATCTATATACTCGTACACATTTATGATAGTGACCTTTCTTTCTGTCTCCTAAACAATATATTTCTATTCCTACTACTACCTTCTTCTTTTATGTGAATCTCCCGCCACATGAGAAAGGTACTCAAGAATGTAAATAGTAAACTGACACTAATCAGTGACGTAAAATATCATAATTAAATTCTGAAAATTTAAAAATATTTCATTTTATTAATAAACTTCTGAAATCAACAAAAAAGTAAGTTCATCAATTACTTTTTATTACTTATACCTTGAAATTATTATATTATGCCAATAATATTCTTTTGTTTCTCATATAAATAAATTTTAAATTAAACGTAAACAAAAAGCTATATTTTAAACTCAAAATGTACATTGTATTTATTATTTAATTAGTTATTTGTTTATATTAGGTACGCTCACACATGCAGTCACATTTTAGGCGATTTGGTACACCGCCGACCACGTACAACGTACATACAGGGTAGCCCATCGAAAACGTACCGCAAGGCATTACAGAGTAGTAAAGAACTTTTCGGCAAAATCCAAAAACAGGTCAAATTTGTTTCTGATGGGGACAACTTTTGGCTCAAAAAGCATACCAAAATCTTCAACCCCCTAAGTGGGGGTGCTATCCCCTAAATTTTTTCAAATGGGAATGGGGGTCAAGTGGGGGGTCATTAGAAAGGGCTTTTAATTCTCTATACATCGATTCTTACTTTTTGAAAATCGATTCATTATTTTAGAAAATATGCAGCTTTGAAAATACGAACAATATTTTTGACGAGAAATGCGAAAATCGATTTAATTTTACTTCAAAACTTACGGTATTAGTCAAGTAAATGCTGAAAATGTTGTCCGCCAACTTGCATACAATGATACAGGTTGTCTTCAAACCGTTGTCGAACATTCTGGAGCACTTGCGGTGTTACTTCGCGACATACATTAATGATTCGTCCTCGCAGATCTTCCAAGGTATCAGGTGGAGTGCTGTAAACTTTGCTTTTAATGTGCCCCCAGAGAAAGAAATCTAAAGGATTTAAGTCGGGTGACCGAGGGGGCCACTCAATTGCACCTCTTCGTCCTATCCAGCGTCCTGGAAACGTCTCATTTAGGTAATTGCGCACATTGAGCGAGTAATGTGGAGGAGCTCCGTCTTGCTGGAAAATCAGTTCGTGTTCATTGTAAGCAGGGTCGTCCTCTATGATATTTGTTAGAGCTGGGTCGATGACATTTTGTAGTAAATCCAAGTACATATCGCCTGTCAAATTTCCAGGAAGGAAAAAAGGACCTACAATGGAATTTCCAAAAATACCTGCCCATACATTCAACTTCTGGGGGTGTTGGGAGTGTGTCTCATGGAAAATCCTTGGATTGGTATCAGCCCAGTAACGACAATTATGGCGATTCACTAAACCATTCAAGAAGAACGTACACTCGTCCGAAAAACACACATTAAAGAGGAAATTATCGTTTATCGCTCGTTCAGTCATTATTTCGCAAAATTGCAAACGACGATCAAAATCGTCTTCATTTAGCTCTTGCACTAGCCGAATCTTATAAGGATGGAATTTGTATTTTTTTAATATTCGTTGGACACTTGTACGACTCACTCCTGTCGCAGTAGCCAATTGCATTGTACTCAGCGTACTATCCATTGCCACTTGCCCCAATACCGCTATTTCCGTAGGTTCATTTAGTACCGGATTTTCAACCTGCCTCTTTTTGTTATGAACGGAGCCAGTTTCGCGAAATTTGGCCACCAATTCGCGAACAATTTTTCCAGACGCATGTTTCTCAGGATGCCGTTGGTTGAACAGTTCGGCGACCCGATTTCCGCATTCATTGTTTTTGAAAAAAAGCTCAATAATTTCTACTCTTTCTGGAATTGAGTACACCATAATTAATCAATTTAAAAGACTCGGCAGTATTGGTACTCTTCAACTACAAGTCACAAGACAGTTATCTAGCAACTTCTTGTGGCCTATCTAAATACGAAACAAAAAGCGGACAATTTTTTGCTCACCAAAATCAGGCTAAAGAATTCGCAAATCAGAAAAAAAAACAGCGAATTCTTTTGAAGGAATTTACCAAGCTAATACCGTAAGTTTTGAAGTAAAATTAAATCGATTTTCGCATTTCTCGTCAAAAATATTGTTCGTATTTTCAAAGCTGCATATTTTCTAAAATAATGGATCGATTTTCAAAAAGTAAGAATCGATGTATAGAGAATTAAAAGCCCTTTCTAATGACCCCCCACTTGACCCCCATTCCCATTTAAAAAAATTTGGGGGATGGCACCCCCACTTAGGGGGTTGAAGATTTTGCTATGCTTTTTGCGCCAAAAGTTGTCCCCCTCAGAAGCAAACTTTTCCTGTTTTTGGATTTTGCCGAAAAGTTCATTACTACCCTGTAATGCCTTGCGGTACGTTTTCGATGGGCTACCCTGTATATCATTTTCAGCAGTTGGTAAAAGTATGTATAAAATATTTTTCTTGCTACCACACGATCGTCAAACCTTTGTTACTCATTCTTTTGTATTCTGTTTCCTTAATATTATTTATTTTGCGGCTGTAGAATGGATAAACGAAATGCAATGGCAATAATTTTATACTTTATTTGTAGTTCGTTCGTTAGTGACTAATTCAATGTTCGTCAGTCAGTCAATCGGTCTGTATGAATTTGAACAGGGTATTTATGTGGGTGGTCACCAAAATCTACAGACGCGTCCAGATAGATGCGACAGGGAGCAACATAAATATCAACTTTGTTGAATTATGTTTTGTGCCACTAATAATACATCGTAGTATCAGGAAACATAGTGTCCACACAAAAGAACCATGTTTTATAAACTTTTTAGCCTCGGGAAATATGTCGTAAATATAGGAAACGTGCTGTTTGTTCACACAGACTTAGTTACTTAACTGTTCATGAGTGTAGTATTGGTATTAATGAATAATAAGGTCGAATGACGACGATCTACTAATAGCAATAGCGGCGCTTTTAAACAGAAAAGCATACGTACAAAATAACCTATTGAATACGTTTTCCTTATTGAAGAAAATTCATGGAGGAGAAACACATATTCATTTTTCCACTGGTCTATATTTACTTGTAGGGAAAATACAGTAAAATACGCGATTTAAAATACAAAACAAACTCGTAACCACAACCGGTGACACGTGAATGATGATAAACTGTGTAAGAGAACCAGATCGCATCGCAAGCCTCATCTTGTTCAGTTTTTTTTAAGATTAACGCTAGACCAGCGAAACATACTACAAAGAGAAACATATGTAGTGTCAACATAAACAATCAGATAAGTAGTATATTTATCGACACACAGTACCATTACTTCTAGAAACTAATCGACAATTAAAAACACTTACAGACCAGGGTCGATACCGTCAGCCTGAAGATGGACACGCATTCTGATTCGGGAAACAAATTTTTATAGTGGACCAGTTCATTATTGCTTAAAATAAAATGAAGTATCTTTTTAGATGTCAATTTGCATAAATATGGCTGTTACAGATTGAAACTGATACTAAGCTTAGATACTGACCTTTTTGTCATTTATGAGAAAAATGTCAATAGAAATGACTCCACCAGTTTGATCAGTCCGATATGGTAGCCAAAGTCGAGCATCTTTGCTAGAAACCCATCATGCCAGAACCTGTCGAAGACCTTGGGGATGTCCAGGGAGACTGCTACGGTCGATTCTGCTCACAGATATTCGGATGTCGGCTTCCGGGTGGTCCTAAGCGTCTACAGCCTGCGATCTTCGGGGTGCAGTGATTGCAGATGTCGCTGCCACAAATTTTGGTAGTGCTTCTCTAGGGCCGCTTTTACTCTCCGGTTCAGCTGGTTTAACGTCTGCTTATCTCAAGGGTATTCCATCTTCGTAGCTCTTCTTTTTGCCGCACGCCTTTCTCTGATAATGTCCTCAATGTAAGAGGTAACTCGGTAACTCACCTGCATAGTTCGCTATTCTCCTCTCCATCGACTCCGTGGTGCTGGCTTCCAAGACGGTGGGGATAACCGTCTCAACAATGGGTGCCTATATTCGTTGTATTTCTGTGCGGAATTGGCCCCAGTCGGTTCGCCGTTTGGCAACGGTGTTCTCACCGCGACGGCAACACTCGTCTCCTAGGATTAGGAGAAAGGGGCACGGTTCGTCTTCCCATCGTAGTGCGTCGCCATGTCGGAGGCCGTCGGTTTTTCCCTGAACAAAGCGATACGCTGCCACGTCTTTGTGGTTCTGCAAGAATTGCAGCGCAAACTAAGTCTGTTGTATTGGGGCTCCTTTTTCTGTTTTTCGTTGCGCCTGTTGGTTCGCTGTCGTCTTTTTTGCCACCTTTTTCGGGAATTTCGGATATCCGCGTTAGTTTGCGGGGGCTCGCCACCACAGTTGACGTACTTCGCCGGTGTCTCCCTTGTCTTTTTGCAGTCTGTGGAGCGGTGGCTCTCACCACACTTCACGCATTTGACTGCGGCTGCACAGTGGCTTTGGGCAAAGCTTTGGCAGCGGTGGCACTGCTGCGCCCCCACCCTGATGACCAGGTAGCAGCACCTGGCCACCTTAGTCCTCTTGGTTTTGTGGGGCTTAAACCGAGACCAGAGGCATGGGGGTCCTGTCGTGCCTGCTCCGCATCTTGAAAACAGAAAGGATGTTAAAACCCTGTCTCTCGAGGTCCGACTGAATCTCCTTGTTATAGATTCCAACTCCAATTAAATTATAATTTTCAGCTTTTAATAATTATGTTTGAAAATAATTTGCATATTTTTCTCGTATCTGCTATCTAAGATTAGCCCTTGGATTTTGTACATCAACTCTAATCATTTCGCCTTCGTTAGGTTCTTCTTGAATTAGTGCTTGAAGATATTGTTCAATACATTTTTTGAGTTTTAAAGCTTCAAAAATAATCTAAATTTAATTGTAACAATGCCAAAGGCATTTTCTGCCACCCTGCGAGCTTTACATAGCCTGGAATTAAACATCTTTCTATAAATCATCTTCCGATTGTTCATAAGAGAAAGGTCTCATCAAATAGAGTTTAAGGGGAAATGCTTGGTCTCCTACAAATACATGAGGCATTGACTCATTTCTTCCCGGAAAAGGTTTTTCGTGAAGGTGATTGAACTTTCCTCTGTCAAATTTTTGACCCGTCCTTCGAAGATGCCTCCGTCGCTATTACTGCCGTAGCCTCCTACGTCGATACATAAAAACTCATGTGGTCCCACAATAGCTAAAAAGTACAATATAATGTTTTTTTGATTAAGAGAAATAAGACGACCCAGCGTTATTAGGGCACTTAATGGTCAATGGCGTCAATGCAGTTTGGAAAATTCCACGTTTCTTAAAACTTTTTAACGCAGTTTTCCCATATTTGTCATGTGGGCTGTGACATGAACACAGATTTTAAATTTTCCCATACTGCTGTGCAAACATCCATCACAATTTCACTAACAGTTGAGAAATCAACTCGGAAGCTGTGATCTATTGTAGAAAAAATATTTCTAGTAACTAAGAATATGAAATAAAGTTATATAGAGTAGTATACTGCTTTATGGAAAGCTTAGTATAGGAATAAATACAGAAGGTGACGTCAACCATATACTAATTGTCATTGTCATTGTCATTTGTCATTTTCAGGCGAAGCGGTGAAAAATAGACCGAAAAATCTGAGAGACTGTTATTCGAAACATCTGAAATCCTCAAAAACGGTAACTGGACAGGCAGCTGGGAAATATTTTCGCAACCCAAGAAGAAGAGACTTCCCAATTAACGTCAATTATGGAAGGGACTGAACCAGAGCATCACGAAAATGAACTCACATCAAATCTCTTATAAGCAGCTGTTCCACATGAAAGTGTCGAAATCAACAATCTGTTGTCGTCGTCTTAAAGTAATTTCTATCAACTACTGCAAGATATTCAAACAGGACAGCACTAGCCATTTGTAAATATAATACCAAGTATTTATTTAATAATGTGCACTGTACTGGCCTGAACAATACAAATACAATATAATTTACATTTGAAAAATATTGTTACCACATATATATTTTTTATAAATTGAAATCAAACCGTTATTAGAATTTCATTTTACTGAAAAGAGGGACACGCTCATTTTCCTCATTAAGCAGTAAAGACGGACGCTTGAGACAGCTCCGCCCGGCTGCATATACCAACAAATATACCAAAATCAATAATAATCACAGCCCTACAAAAAAGTGGGAGGTCCGAAAGACAAGACAATGATATCCATATGTTTTTGGAGTCGCTGAATCCGATTCCGGTGTCCGTTTGTTGCGATTAACTATATATCAGATCAAGGTCAAATATAGATAATAAATTGCCAACAAACAAACCTACATATCTATAAATTTTTGGGATCTCTGACTCCGATCAGATCTGGGTCAAGGTCGGTTCAAGGTCAAATGTTCTCTACATTTCTACATCAATTGCCAACAAAGTAAATCTACATATCTATACGTGTTTGGGGTCGCTGAATCCGAATCTAGTGTCCGTTTGACCTAATCAGGTCTACTAAATATCTTATAATAGAAAAAAATTTTGAGCCCTAAAGTGAAAAATTTGATCAGGTTTGAGCAGAAAGATTTCATCAAGATATTAAGGAAGAAGAAAATCTGGGTGACAATGAATATTAGTGATGACGAATATATTCCATATCACGTTTTGAAAAAGGAACAATATCCCAAGAGAAAGTAAATGATCTTGTTCCAGATTTGAGCCTGACAAAGGCTTGTGCAGAGTTCCTAAAAAAATACTAAGCAAGCCGGAAAAGTGAAAACTTCTTACTATCGAGACAATAATAAGGAATTTCGTAAATATTTATCTAACGATGAAGAGTTTTCCTTAGTTTACTGCAATGGTATCGTTGGATTGATGAATCACTTCAAACATTGATGTTATAAACCTAACGAATGGAGGCTGTTCATGGATTCGTCAAACAGAAGCAATAAATCTGTTCTACTGCATAATACAAATGTTTGTGCAGCCATACCTGTAGCACATACGGTGATCTTGACAAAAGAGTACTGTAATCTGAGAATAGTCTTACATAGTATCAAATACGAACAACATAAATGGCAAATTTGTAAGAATAATCACAATAATACTGGGCCAACAATTGGGATTCTCAAAAAACTCCTTGCTTTTTATTTGAATGGGATAGTCGGGATCGAAAAAATCATTACGTGAAGAGCGTTTGGCTAGAGAAGCCTTTGGTGTTGGGTTTTGGAATATAAAACATGAATCACTTGTTAATTTTAATTCTAACTAAGGTGGTCAATGTTTTAAGTATATCGGAGATCAATTCCTCAATTTAAGTGATGCGAAATTGCGGGAAAGGATATTTGATGGACCTCAGATCCGTAAGATGTTAAAGGATCACATATTTGTTAGTAGAATGAATGAAAACGAGAAAGCAGCATAGCTTTAAGGTCCTAATCGGAAATGATCTAAGAAATCAAAAGCGTATAAAAAAAATAGAGTAGAATTTGCTGGAAAGCTTTAAAAACCTAGGCTGTTTAGTGAATCTCAAATTACATTTTTTACATTCCCATGTGAATTAGAAAATTTGATTGATTACAGTGAGGAGCAGAGAAAGTGATTTCATCAATATGTTAAGGAAATGGAGTATCGGTACCAAGGCAAATCGGATATGTGTTAGCCGATTACTGCTGTTCATTAAAAAGAGATTTACCATTGAAGTTGAGAAGACGTAAAATCCACTTCGTAGATCTTTTTACAGCAAAAACAGTTTGACTACAATCATGAGTAGTAATCTCGATACCGTAACAGTGAGATATAGTGATTTCATGTGATTCATCGAGGCAAAAAGCCTCTTATCTTGAAAAACTGTTCTCAAGAATCTCAATCGACACAGACTCACTGTGTAAATTAATGTACATATGTATACGAAGCATTAACAGACACATGAGTTTAAAACTTACTTAATTAGGTTTATTGATACTAGAATTTTATCATGTCAAAACAATTAACTCGAGAATCACGGGCTCAGATTTAAAGCTTTCTTTCTTTAATCTTATTTGTTACTCAAATTTTAATACCCATAAGTACTCCTACGCAACTTGACTGTTTTGAGTTTAGAACTTAAGCAGATGGACCCCATAAACGTATAGATATATTGGTATACTTTCTTGGCAATTGATTCTTTACATTTTACCTTGAACTGGCCTTAACCCAGACCTGATCGGTGTCCAAACGGACACCGGATTTGGATTCAGCAACCCCAAAAATATATGGATATGTAGTTTTACTTTGTTGGCAATTGAATCTCTACATTTAACCTTGAACTGTTCTTAACCCAGAGCTAATCGGGTCAAACGGACACCATATTCAGATTCAGCGACCCCAAAAACGCATAAATACCATACTCTTGTCTTTTGGACCTGCCACTTTTTATGGGGCTTATTAATCTGGATTAATCTTATTAATCTGGACAAAAACTGCCGCAGGTACAGTAATAGTAGACAATTTGGTAATACATGTTTTATTAGGTTAATATCGTCTTTAACTTCTAGGTACTGGAAATATGTGGGAAATTTGAATAATAAACACTGCCCTTTACGAAGTTAAGATAAGCTTTGCTTCAAAAGCTAAGAACAGGAGAACGCTATACAATGATTTTGTTATATAAATTTCAGATATGAATAGTTAGAAACTGATTTAAATTTAAAGAGTTACCACTAAAGAAAATGAAAATAAAAGTATGTATAACAAACTATACTAAATATATTTCATTTTCTAGATTATGTAGTCTTTGAGGGTTTTAAGATTCTACCTAACTAGCTTAGGAATCAAGACATTGATTCAGATGTATTGCATGCAAAATACAATCGAATTACATGTTAAGAAATTAAATGTCAATGTTATGCAATAAATATATCGAAAATAGCTCTTCTTTTCATCTTATCTTTAGGGTATTCAAA